TGAGGCCCTGGCAGTGTCCTTTCAAGGACGTTCAAGGCTGCCGTTTGCCAGCCCGCAAAATTCGCCAAACCCTCCCCTGCAGCTCCCAGGCACCACTCAGGCCGCGGCAGACCTTTCCTGCAGCTCCAACAAGTCCCTGAGGCTGTGGCACTGTCCTTTTAAGGACGTTCAAGGCTGCTCGAAACCTCCCCTGCAGCTCCCAGGTGCCACTCAGGTCGGCGCAGACGTTTCCTGCAGCTCCAACAAGTCCCTGAGTCCCTGGCAGTGTCCTTTTAAGGAATTCAAGGCTGCCGTTTGCCAGCTTTCACAACTCACCAAGCCATCCTTTTCCTGCAGCTCCAACAGTCCCTGAGGCCCTGGCAGTGTCCTTTTAAGAACGTTCAAGGCTGCCACTTGCCAGCACGCAAAACTCGCCAAACCCTCCCCTGCAGCTCCCAGGCGCCACTCAGGCCGCGGCAAACCTTTCCTGCAGCTCCAACAGTCCCTGAGGCCGTGGCACCGACCGTTTAAGGACGTTTAAGGCTGCTCCAAACCTTCCCTGCAGCTCTCAGGCGCCACTCAGGCCGCAGCAGACCTTCCCTGCAGGTCGTGGCAATGTCCTTTTAAGGACGTTCAAGGCTGCCGTTTGCCAGCCCGCAAAACTCGCCAAACCCTCCCCTGCAGCTCCGAGGCGCCACTCAGACCGCCGCAGACCTTTCCTGCAGCTCCAATAACTCCCTGAGGCCCTGGCAGCGTCTTTTTATGGACGTTCAAGGCTGACGTTTGCCAGCCCGCAAAACTCCCCAAACCCTCTCTGCAGCTCCCAGGCGCCACTCAAGCCGCGGCAGCCCTTTCCTACAGCTCCAACAGTCCCTGAGTCCCTGGCAGTATCCTTTTAAGGACGTTCAAGGCTGCCGTTTGCCAGCCCGCAAAATTTGCCAAACCCTCCCCTGCAGCTCCCAGGCGCCACTCAGGCCGCGGCAGACCTTTCCTGCAGCTCCAACAAGTCCCTGAGGCCATGGCAATGAATGTCCTTTTATGGACGTTCAAGGCTGCTCCAAACCCTCCCCTGCAGCTCCCAGGCGGCACTCAGGCTGCGGCAGACCTTTCCTGCAGCTCCAACAAGTCCCTGAGGCCCTGGCAGCCTTGAAAACTCGCCAAACCGTCCTTTCCTGCAGCTCCAACAGTCTTTGAGGCCCTGGCAGTGTCCTTTTAACGACGTTCAAGGCTGCCGTTTGCCAGCCCGCAAAACTCGCCAAACCCTCCCCTGCAGCTCCCAGGTGCCACTCAGGCCGCGGCAAACCTTTCCTGCAGCTCCAACGAGTCCCTGGGGCCGTGGCAGTGTCCTTTTACGGTCGTTCAAGGCTGCTCCAAACCTCCCCTGCAGCCCCCAGGCGCCACTCAGGCCGTGGCAGACTGTTCCTGCAGCTCCAACAAGTCCCTGAGGCCCTAGCAGTGTCCTTTTAAGGACGTTCGCCAGCCCGCAAAACTCGCCAAACCTCCCCTGCAGCTCCCAGGCGCCACTCAGGCCGCGGCAAACCTTTCCTGCAGCTCCAACAAGTCCCTGAGGCCGTGGCAGTGACCTTTTAAGGACGTTCAAGGCTGCTCCAAACCCTCCCCTGCAGCCCCCAGGCGCCACTCAGGCCGCAGCAGACCTTTCCTGCAGGCCCTGGCAGTGTCCTGTTAAGGACGTTCAAGGCTGCCGTTTGCCAGCCCGCAAAACTCGCCAAACGCTCCCCTGCAGCTCCCAGGCGCCACTCAGGCCGCAGCAGACCTTTCCTGCAGGCCCTGCAACAAGTCCCTGAGGCCCTGGCAGTGTCCTTTTAAGGACGTTCAAGGCTGCCGTTTGCCAGCCCGCAAAACTCGCCAAACGCTCCCCTGCAGCTCCCAGGCGCCACTCAACCTAAGGCCGCAGGCAGACCCTTTAATGCCGCTCAAAAGTCTAGGCCCTCGGCGCTCCTTTTAAGGACGTTCAAGGCTGCCGTTTGCCAGCCCGCAAAACTCGCCAAACCCTCCCCTGCAGCTCCCAAGCGCCACTCAGGCCGCGGCAGACCTTTCCTGCAGCTCCAAGAAGTCCCTGAGGCCGTGGCAGTGTCCTTTTAAGGACGTTCAAGGCTGCTCCAAACCCTCCCCTGCAGCTCCCAGGCCAGCGAATCAGGCTGACGGCCAGACCTTTTACTGCAGCTCCAAAAGTCCCGGGCCCTGGCAGTTGTCCTTTCAAAAGTTAAAAGGATTGCCGGTGCCAGACTTCAAAAACTGGCAAAAACCCTCCTTTTCCTGCAGCTCCAACAAGTCCCTGAGGCCCTGGCAGTGTCCTTTTAAGGACGTTCAAGGCTGCCGTTTGTCAGCCCGCAAAACTCGCCAAACCCTCCCCTGCAGCTCCCAAGCGCCACTCAGGCCGCGGCAAACATTTCCTACAGCTCCAACAAGTCCCTGAGGCCGTGGCAGTGCCCTTTTACGGACGTTCAAGGCTGCTCCAAACCTCCCCTGCAGCCCCCAGGCGCCACTCAGGCCGCAGCAGACCTTTCCTGCAGGCCCTGGCAGTGACCTTTTAAGGACGTTCAAGGCTGCCGTTTGCCAGCCCGCAAAATTCGCCAAATGCTCCCCTGCAGCTCCCAAGCGCCACTCAGGCCGCGGCAGACCTTTCCTGCAGTCCTTTTAAGGACGTTCAAGGCTGCCGTTTGCCAGCGCGCAAAAGACGCCAAACCCTCCCCTGCAGCTCCCAGGCGCCACTCAGGCCGCGGCAGACCTTTCCTGCAGCTCCAACAAGTCCCTAAGGCCCTGGCAGCGTCTTTTTATGGACCTTCAAAGCTGCCGTTTGCCAGCCCGCAAAACTCCCCAAACCCTCGCTGCAGCTCCCAGGCACCACTCAGGCCGCGGCAAACTTTTCCTACAGCTCCAACAGTCCCTGAGGCCCTGGCAGTGCCCTTTTAAAGATGTTCAAGGCTGTCATTTGCCAGCCCGCAAAACTCGCCAAACCTCCCCTGCAGCTCCCAGGCGCCACTCAGGTCGCGGCAGAGCTTTCCTGCAGCTCCAACATGTTCCTGAGGCCGTGGCAGTGTCCTTTTAAGGACGTTCAAGGCTGCTCCAAACCCTCCCCTGCAGCTCCCAGGCGGCACTCAGGCTGCAGCAGCTCCAACAAGTCCCTGAGGCCCTGGCAGTGTCCTTTTAAAAAGTTCAAAACTCGCCAAACCCTCCTTTCCTGCAGCTCCAACAGTCCCTAAGGCCCTGGCCAAGGCTACCGTTTGCCAGCCCGCAAAACTCGCCAAACCCTCCCCTGCAGCTCCCAGGCGCCACTCAGGCCGCGGCAGACCTTTCCTGCAGCTCCAACAAGTCCCTGAGGCCTTGGCAGTGTCCTTTTAAGGACGTTCAAGGCTGCTCCAAACCCTCCCCTGCAGCTCCCAGGCGCCACTCAGGCCGCGGCAGACTATTCCTGCAGCCCGGTGTGCAGCGCTGGACCTCAACCTCGGACCTTCCCACCTCAGTGTGCACCGCTGGACGTCAACCTGGGACCTGCCCAGCTCAGTATGCACCGCTGGATTTCAACGGCCAAATAGACTGATGGAAGATATGCCAGATAGAATGTCAGAAGATATGCCAGTAAGAAAATCTATAAGTCATGGTAGGAATCCCACAAAGTAAAGTATTTTTTTACGTCGCAAAACATTATAATCTATAAACAACGGAGAATATCTAACAATATATCATAATCATAATCCAGTCAATATTTTAAGATGTCGCTATTATATCTCTTGGGGGATTGCTACAATGTGGTCAACCAAATGCCATCAACTCCCATTGATGGTTAGAACCCCCGTCAGGGTCATGTGCTTTCCTTCCTCCACCCCTGAAAGGGGGGTCGGCGGCACCAGGGCGTTAGCCCATTTATAAAAAAAATAACCATTCTAAACTAAACCTTTAAATTTATAATCCCTGGGTAAACAATCAATCCTAAACCTTAGTAAAACTAAGAATATATACAATTTTTATTAATATTATTAAAGATATCTTTATTTTTTTTATTCGAATTCATGCACATATTTATTTCAGATTGACTAAATCATTAAAATGAGCTCGCCAAGAAAAAACGTAGCTACAGCTCAACATACATTTCAGCACGGACCGTGCCAAAACCGAATTCAATTTTTGGGGCTGACACGTTCAGCCAAAGAAAACTGTTGCGATGCTTTGTGAGCAAAGGTATTGGCGAAGTCGTACCACATAAAACATGAAAAATCGCTTCACGGCTCACGGAGTCAAACGCTCAGAAATTTCTGTCCCATCAGCGGCGTTGTTTTTTGTACTGCGATAGCTCAACACAAAGCCGAAAATCGCCATGAGGCTTCCAATCACCTGGCGCATTGTGCCACAAAACCACACCCAGTTTGAGCAAACATAAAGAAATTTACAATGCTTAAAACATGTTTCCATGATAATCCAGATGCACCCAGCAAATCCACTTTCCTTAAACAATTTGTTTTTGAGTATTGTGAAAAAAAACAAATTAAAACTCGCAGCTATACTAAAACTATCCTGGGGTGAACCAACTCAGAAGAACTCCAAGAACTCCAAGGGCCTCTGCAGGCGAAGCCAAAGAATGCAGCATTAGAGAATCCAAAACCAAGGAGAGAGGCATTGAGAGACACGCTGCCATAGCTGCTTGTGCAGCTCCAATCAATGATGAAAAAGAAAGCCAGCCAAAGTTCAACATCATATTGGTCACGCACATGAAGACCGTGGCATTCGCACCGGGGAAGACAGGCCACAATGTGCCCGTGACATCCGCAATTTCCGTGGTTGCAAGAAGCAGTGCCAGAACCAAAAGACTCATCACACCTTCCAAGGCCAACAGCATCATAAGTGAGCAATCCTCCTTGAGACATTTGGATGTGATGATTGCAATGATGGAGTACTGCGAGGTTGCCACCAAGCACAAGGTGCAACCCCAAATAGTGTTGCCTCACTGAAATTTCACATGAAAACATCGAAAAATAAAACAGACCAAGCCACTGGCAGGGCGCACAAGACACTTTGAACATCTTTGAGCATTTTAAAAGAACTACGAACCACAAACCTTCAAACCAAACCCTTCCCACGCCTGCAATTTGAGTTTGTATGGCCAAACAAGCTCCACCCAGGGTGATTAAGCCACCCAAAATGGCCGCAGGTGCGGGTGCTTTCAAAGCCACGATAGCTTCCAAGACCATGGCAACCAAGATGTCCAGATTCTACACCTCCACCAATGCAGGTCAGGAGGCCGTATGGATTCCCATCTTTGGCCCTAGAGTCTCTAGAAGGTCATTTCTATGGTCGTAACATGTAACGATGGTCATAACATGCTCACCGAGACACCAAGGTATTGATGGCTGGCGTGGTGCCGGTGAAGGACTTGTACCACATGGCATGCGTCAGGAGCGAAAAGGCTCCCAGGCAGAATGCCAGCAGCCACGTCCACCCAAAGCGAGGCAAGCGAAGACCCCATCTTCGTCGCTTGATCGGTACAAGGGCCAACCTTCAGACTTCAGAGAACCACATCGATATTGCAGGAACTGACAAATGACAATCAAGGAAACCATGCACTCCATTTGTTGGAGCTTCATGGAGCTTCTAAAAGTCGACAATTTGTACTGGATACTGGTAGCTCCAAAAAACTTTCCATCTGGGCAAAAAAGGTTGTTGCAGGGACCAAGCAGCACTGACCATGAACTTTGCACAACCACTGCAGCACTCAGGGGCGAAGCGGACAAATAGTCTCGCAAAGCGAATGCACCGAACTTTTCAGCATATTCAGGTGACATCCAGCCGACAAGCCTCAATCTGAGACTTCGGTGAAAATCTGCACCAAAAAAATACGTTTGAAGACTGCAGTGCTGAAGTCTAGAATCTGCACCTGCAAGAATGCAAAACATGTCATGTGCAGAACAAAACAAAGAGCTTCCGGCGAGGTGCAGCACTGCCAGACTGGCAGCAGCAAGGTATCTTGTGGTGTGTGATCCAGATCTGCTAGATCCGATACTGGACCCGGAGTGCATCTTCAGTAGCAACTCAGAAACTTCTGACTGCAAGAACCTCGGGGGTCAAAACCAGGCACCAATTGAACAAAATAAGTGTTTTTGAAAACCAACCGTTTCTTTGGGTCAATCATCTTGATACCCGCCTAACAACATTTTCACCCAAAACGATTACTGTTAAACCAAGAATCTTGTCTTTCTCCAAGTGGAAGCCACAAGGCGTCCATGACATGGGATAAATGAATTACAATCTGTTTGCTCTTGTGCGTTCAGTCAAGGACTCGATTGATCAAACACATCGGGAGGATGTCTCTCTTGTGCTTCTCTCTGGTGTTCTTGCCCAGCTTTTGACTCTTCCTTCATGTTCCAGCATCCACCTTCTACCCTTGAATTCCAAAAATCAGATCAATACAGCACACTTTTTGAACAAAATTCACAACCATGTGCAAGCGGTATGATTGCAACATCATTTTTTCCCCCAACCCTGAGCAATCTTGATGTTTTTGGCACACCTTTTCGCTGTCCAATGCACCCACATCATGGCGATAGAAATCGCTGGCATTTCAGATGCATTTCCTGCTACTCGTTCCTGTTCTTCAACCTTTTCCAAAGCAAAAGCGAACTCTTAAGACAAACAAGTAGAAAATTGTCGGGAAATTTGGACCGCTTGGACGTCATCGCAGACCACTTTGAGAGACTCGTATATAGCTCATATATTTGCCTACTGCTTCTCCAAACTCCAATGCGCATAGATTTGTTATCGAACCTCCGATCTCTGATCTGAAATGCAAAACGGCGGCTGGTCCATGACACAGCAAAAATGATGTGTGTCACACTTCGAGTGATTTCACCACAACACGACTTCACTTCATTGATCCGTTTGGATGTTTTAATGTTTGATCCGTTATGATCCGTTATGATCCAGTTGAGTTTTGGCTTGAGGGTATTGTGACCTGTGGCGCCGTGCGCTGGAGGCCCAAGAGACGCGCAAGAGTTGCGCCAAGGCGCCGACAAACATGGCCAAACTGGAACATGTCATGTCCAACATGTCCTCATTTTTTGTGCATTTTATCACAAGTCCAAACTTGGATGGGCTGGCATAACATGGCATAGCGGCATAACCAACAAAACTCCCAAGTTCACGGATCCTCTTCGTTTTGTATTGTTTTAGTGCACCAGTTTCCAGGGTTGCAGAATCTTGCAGACACACGGCTAACCCGCAGCTGGAATATGATAGTGTTCAGGGAATGTGAAGCCATGATGAGTCTTGACCTATTGGTCTCTCAAATCCCATGGTGACTTGTTAATCTCTTGCAGTATCTATTTCCAAGTTTGGCATGGAGTCCGAAGGCAAATGCTTATGGTTTCCCTGCTACTTTGCAGGGCTGACTGCCAATAAGCAGCCTGCAGCTTGGATTGCGAAAGCATCTTCATGCTTTTCGTTCAATTTTTGTATCCAGGGCGGACCTTTGGATTCTCAAGCAAGCGCACATTCAGCTTCCGATCTAGAAGTTAGAGCTGGCCGAATGGTAAACGGACGTATTATGATTTTTGAAAATAGAGATTCACAAATTTCACAACAAATCAGAACATTTCTATTGCATTTCCTCCATTGGCCATGCGGAAAATTTTCGCTGACCGGTCCTAAAGGGATGGCACTGGCACTGGTGGCTTGGTCAAATGCATGCGATGTGCGTCGGCCACCCGGCGCATCTGGAGCAACGCCAAGCGACCACTGCGGATCACTTGTTCCTGCTCAGCACTCAGGCGACGGATCCGCGATACATCGGGAAACATGCGACTCACCAAGCCTGGCGTTGCTCCAAGTGGTTCATCTTGTGGATGGGGTAGTGATGTATAAATAAATAAATGCATAAATAAATTTGAAAAATATATCTATATAATATGTATGTATGTATGTATGTATGTATATATATATATATATATACACATTAGGCAAAACGGGCCAAAAACAGATTGAGCGAGGTTTGAAATGTTCATGAAGTTGATTTTGCTTCAAGTCTCAGCTGAAAAAAACCTGACCGCTCGAAAAGGACGGCATCACTGGGCAACAAAATGCAACAAACAGAGTGTCCTGCAACATGGCGAATGGCCGCTACACGGCTACACAAAACAAATGCATTGAGAAGTTGCGACTTGCGAACTGTAAAACCGCATGCCAGTGGGGCTGGCAGAGTTTCGAGGTGCTGAGCGCTCGCAAAACCAATACTGTCTCTGATCTTTCTTGAACGTTTTAGTTGATGCTTGGTGTCTTTCAGCGGAATTATCATAAGGAGTCGCTGGTCAGCGTTCTTGTGTCCCCTTAAACACAGATTTTCACTCGATATAGACTTCTTCTCTACATAAAAATAAACGATTAAAAGTCACTTGAACTTGGCAACATGTCCTGCACTGAACTGCGACCAATGTCTCATGATTTCTCTGCTCCAAGCGGCGTTGACGTAGGGAGCAATACTTGAGGAGGGATTCGATGCAGTTGTTGAAGGCATCTTCCAATGCTGCAATCCCTTCGACGGGCACCTGGAGGCTTCCCAGTGAAGATGCAAAGGAATCGTGGCAAATGTAACTTTACGATACTTCTGCTTTGAAAGAAAACCCTCTGCCAAAGCAACTGACCCAAATTTGTCCTACCGTTGTGGACTTTCAATTTCGACTCTCCAGCTCAAATTGCCCATGATGCCATACATTCTTGCAATGTGTCAACCGATAGAAGAAAGCCATGACACTTTTCTCCATTCGCGAAGGCAATAGGCTCGCACAGAGACACCATGCTCCAGGTTCTCCAAGAAGTTTCGGTGGCTCTTGGGCATGCATTGTCGACCTGCCACTTGGTTGGCGAGTCGTGCAGGATGGGGAGTGGACCCTCTTTCAGGAACTGATAAAAACACAGGCTGCAAACAGCGGCCACCTCAACTTATGTGAGAACGGCAGGTACAACATAATTTACTGTACCATGGACTAAAATTTTCACTCTGTTTGAGACCTCTGCTGTTTTCTCAGATTCTGAAAAACCGGAAGCACACAGTGGTCCGCCTTGCATCTGCCAATGCTCTTGCAAAGGCCCAGAGATTCCATCCAACTTTCGGAGCCCCAAAATAGCATGCATCGCAGGAAGCAACGGGGATGAACCCCCAGTGTAGACCCACACTGCGTAGTCTTCTTCCGACAGGTCTGGCAACGGCGCGCTGGAAACTTGCCAAAACAACTCATCGTATGCGAGTGTTGAGATCACATTCTCTTGATCCATTCAATTCTCGCTGTGGAATCAGTCCATTACTCACTTTTCTAATCGGACTCTCAACGCTAGTCTGGGGGGTTGTCATCTGGAGGTGCTTGCTTACAATCACAAGACAACAACAATATCCGCATCAGCAGATTCTGAATCTAAATCCAAATCCATCTGGAAAATTCTCTTCACATTTCAAACAATCACCCTTCCTAACGCATCCTTTGCCAATCTAGATTATCAGCTGCTCTCAAATTCACAGCTTTCACACAGCTTTCACACAGCTTTCAACTTGATGTCTCTCTCTCTCTCTATCGAATCCAATTAATCCAATTAATCCAATTAATCTATATAGTTAATCTAATTAATTAATCCAATTCATCTCTCTATCTATCTATCTATCTCTCTATCTATCTATCTATCTACCTATGTATGTGTATGTGTACGTGGATGTGTATGTATGTATATATACATTATTATCATATATTATATATATGTCTCTATATACACAAGTTAATCGGTTAATCCTCCATTTATAGATGACTTTCCCATGAAAACCTCCATTTAGTTCCGGGATTTCCCAGCCATGTTTCATTACCGGCGAATCCGTTTTTTTCCAACGGCACCTTCTGCCACGAAGGCTCGTAGCCGCTGCATGAGAAGCGCCTCACCGCGGCTGTCCTTCTGGTCGAACTGTCGCATTTGAAACTCCGACAAAGAATCCACGTCGGCGGCTAACTGATTCAGCGCCCCAATGACTGCTCCTCGGGGATCGACTGGGATACGATTTGGGATACGATTTGGAATCAGCGAAACCATCACATGCACTCCGGGACATGCACCTGGTGATCATTGTCGGTACCTCTATTTGCCAAGCTAATTTTGGGGGTACAATCTATTTGGCCCATACGGAACTTACAACTTGAACTGGCTGGAGATCCATAGCCATTAGAACAAAACCTGGATAATTTGATATCCCCAATTCCAACACATGTGGCTACCATGGTAGCCTTGGGTTCACATCGCTGGATGATATGATTCATAAATGATAGTGCTGATAGTGGATGTTCATCCTGTTCATCCTGTTCATCCTGTTCATCCCCCACAACTCCGTCGCGGCACCGTTGTCTCTCGCTGAGATTGCAGGGGTGATGTTGCTGTGGGCGGTGGAAACCGCTCGTCCACCTTCGGCTTCTAAGACCAGGTGCAGCTTACGATGCCTGGGAGACACTGGGAAACGCTAAAAGAGATCAGTGGGCCTTGGGAAGGGGGAAACATGGGGAAACATAAATTGGGGGCCAGAAGAAAACATCTTGATGGATCTTGAACCAGACATGGACCAGAAGTGACAAGGCTAATGGTTGCTTCTGTGGATGTGGATGATATGGAAAATTGATGCGATGATATCCATTTAGTGAGTGGCGCTTCTACCTTCACTCCATTCGTGCGTCAGATTGAGGTGTGGCTGCAGAGCAAAACCGATCGAAACCTGCCTATTGAACACCACAACACCTCAAAAGACATATTGGTGAGTCTAATCCCAATATGAAAATTCATTGGGGACACTATCATCCCAAGCAAGGCTTGAACATCGAAATCAACCCGAACCAAGCCCCTCATTCATTTCCTCACCATTTATTTCCCTCTGCTTATTCTGGTCAAGGATCCACTCCTCATCTGGAGTCGCAATGAAGCGTGCGATGGGTTGCACCAAGTGGACTGTATCCCGTGAGAGGACGAAGTCGTCCTTCAGCTTTGCCAAGTCCTGGGGGGATGGTCCCTGGCCGGCCATCCTCTAACCGGTCCTATGGTCACTTGAGATTATCGGATCCTCCCATTTGGTTGAAAAAAACATGAACAATATATTTGACACTGGAGCTGGAATATCTGGAAGGATCACTTTATAGTTGAGATGATGTGGAGTGTCCAAACAACAATAATGCAAAAACAGCATGAGACGTCCTGCTTTTACTGATTTTTTTCCTGTCATCTCGGCAACAAACTACCCACCATGATATCATCTCATCGGTGTGTTAATCGAGTGGGGATCCCTCTCCGGATTTGCGATGTAGAGTAACAAAATTTGAAACCACCAGCCAGCCGGAATTGTCTCAAACGGGGGGATACCCCAAACATGGCGATTGTAATGGAACACATTATGATTCACCAATGGATTTCTGGTATACCAGGGTATACCCAATTTTGGGCCCATCAACCCGTCATTTCGTTTCATTTGCGTCCTTTGGATGAATCTTCCAGTTGTTCAGCACTAGCTCGCTGTATTCCGGAGCACCGTGCCATTCGCGACCCACCAGGACTTCAAAGTGCAGGACAATACTCTTTAGCCAATCTGGTAGCAGTCGCAATGCTGTCTCACCTGAGCTGCTGATGTGCAGGAAATCTGCTGCTCTCCTTCCCGTCTTCCTTTCTTCTGACGTTTGGTAGGAGGAAACCCAGCAAACAACATACTGAAAAACGTGTTCAATCTGGGATTTTTGATTTGAAGTCTCACAAAATTACGCCCCGTTCTAACAACAGCACACCTGCTCTTTCAAATAAACACCTGCGCATTTCATCTCAACCTGCTACCTGATGTTGCTGACTTGTTGTGGTGCCTGATCCCTATCCCGTCCCAGACTTGGAAGGCAAGATCCACCAGCAAACTCCCAAAACAATGAGTTTTCCTGTCTAATTTCAAAACTGATCAGAATTTCTTCAATAATCCAAGATATCATTCGATTTTCCTTTTTCCCCAGCGTAAGCTAAGGGGGTCTTCAGCCCAGAATAGCTCCGGTGTGCACTGGTGCAGGCGCCGGGTCAGGTTCAACGAGGTTCCGGATTTGGTGCAGAGCAGGTCAGGTTCAGCAAGGTTCCGGAGAAGGTTCTGGAGAAGGTTCCAGAGAAAGTCTGGGAGGCTTTGGTGCAGAGACAAGTCAGGTTCAACAGGGTTCCGGACAAGCTTCCGGAGAAGGCTCCAGGAAGCCTCGGTGCAAAGCCAAGTCAAGTTCAACAGGGTTCCGGAAAAGGTTCCGGAGAAGGTCGGGAGGCTTTGGTGCAGAGCACCGGGAGGTGTTCAACAGGGTTCCAGAGAAGGTTCCGGAGAAGGTCTGGGAGGCTTTGGTGCAGAGACAGGTCATGTTCAACAGGGTTCCGGAGAGGTTCCGGAGAAGGTCTGCAATGGGAGGCTTTGGTGCAGAACTTCAACAGGGTTCCGAAGAAGGTTCCGGAGAAGGTTCCGGGAGGCTTTGGTGCAGAGCAAGGTGAGGTTCAGCAGGTCCGGAGAAGGTTCCGGAGAAGGCTCCGGGAGGCTTTGGCGCAGAGCGAGGTCAGGTTCAACAGGGTTCCAGGAGACTTGGTGCAAAGCCAAGTCAAGTTCAACGGGTTCCGGAGAAGGTTCCGAAGCCCTGGGAGGTTCAACAGGGTTTCGGAGAAGGTTCCGGAGAAGGTTGCGGAGAAGGCTCCAGGAGGCTTTGGTGCAGAGCCAAGTCAGGTTCAACAGGCTTTGGTGCAGAGCCAGGTCAGGTTCAACAGGGTTCCGGAGAAGTTTCCGGAGAAGGCTGCGGAGAAGGCTCCGGGAGGCTTTGGTGCAGAGCCAAGTCAAGTTCAACAGGGTTCTGGAGAAGGTGCCGGAGAAGGTTGCGGAGAAGGCTCCGGGAGGCTTTGGTGCAGAGCCAGGTCAAGTTCAACGGGTTCCGGAGAAGGTTCCGAAGCCCTGGGAGGTTCAACAGGGTTTCGGAGAAGGTTCCGGAGAAGGTTGCGGAGAAGGCTCCGGGAGGCTTTGGTGCAGAGCCAAGTCAGGTTCAACAGGGTTCTGGAGAAGGTGCCGGAGAAGGTTGCGGAGAAGGCTCCGGGAGGCTTTGGTGCAGAGCCAGGTCAGGTTCAACAGGGTTCCGGAGAAGTTTCCGGAGAAGGCTGCAGAAGCCAAGCCAGGTCAGGTTCATTTAACTCATGGAAAATCAGCTGATAGTTTCCAGCGCTTGGCTTCCCAGCACGCTTCAGAAAGATTTGTAAAAATAAAACGTTGCGGCTGTTGGGGATACCACCGAAGCTTATTCGCAATTTCTAACCGCCGAGCCGAGCTTCGCAAAGCTTCCGTCGGCTTCCCCTTGGCTGGGCACTGGGCACCAGCGCTACCCGTCACGGGGCAGGTGGCGGCCAGAGGAGCCACGGTGCGATTGGCGGTGTGATAAGCAGAGACCACAAAGGACAGCAGCAGCCAACAGTGCTCCAAGTCCAAAATTCCCATGGTCCTTTGAAAAAATGCTGCAAAAATCATGAATGATAGTTAGAGATCGAATATGTGTTACACATGTAAGCAATCTACATGGACTTGGGGAGAGGGGTATTACCAATGAAGATACGGACATCAAAAAAATCAAGCGTATCACGATACAGTATCATAAATGGTGAATTGGGAAGATGATCAACAAACATGAGGATCAGGATCATTTTAAGGGAAAAATTGCAGGAAACCCCGATATTTATGGAAAATCCAAAACTTTCTGTAGATTTCGGCTTAAACCAATCCATTGAGAAGATCTATGTGCTCATTACATGTGTTTGATCCAGGCTGATGGAAATGAAATGGTGAGGACCGAAAGCAGTCCGAAGGTAAGAGCAGCGGAAACCAAAGAATTTATAGGGAATGTTGAATGTGGAACGATGTATAAATTCATCATGTTGATGCAACGTCCCAACAATCTGGCAGTAGTTAAAAACAACTTGAAGTACCACAATTAAGTATACCAGTAGTATCGCACAAGACGGTGGCGGGAGTTTACCTATAGGAGGCTGCGGCTTGCCGGGGCTTCGCCGGGCTTCGCGAAACAGTGCCCGGAATTCTCGGAAGGCATGCGTCTGGTTTGAAGACCTTTGTGGCGACGTTTGAGCGGCGTTTGAAGACAAACATGGAGCGCCAGTGCCAGAAACAAAGAGCTATAACCATCGTGTATATCTAACATGATCTTTATATCTGCTGTCGCGAAATGCCTTCGCATGCGTCAAATCTAGAAGCTTAGGCCGAGAGGCTTCGCAAGCCTTCGCGGATTGACAGGTATCACACAAATTCCTTCGCCGTCATATGTTGGGTTCCCTCGTCATACAAAAATCCATCATTTCAACAAAAAAAGCTGCTCAGTTGTAGTTGCAGTCGTACTTAGTGTAGTGTAGTGTAGTGGAGTGTAGTGTAATTAGTGTAGTGTAGTGTGGTGTAATGTAATTTTTGTAGGGTAGTGTAGTGTAGTGTAATGTAGTGTAGCTGTAGTTCTAGTTGTAGTGTTACTGTAGTGTAATGTAATTAGTGTAGTGTAATGTCATTAGTGTAGTGTAGTGCAATGTAGTGTAGTTGTGGTTGTAGTTGCAGTGTAATGTCGTGTAGTGTAGCGGTGGTTGTAGTTGGAACTGGCACAAAACCCTCACGTTTTACCCACTTTTGGCAAGGTGCACAATCCCTTGCGCTTGCCAAGCAAAACGACATCTGCACGTCCAAAAGTGCTCCTTACCCTTCAGTTTTTCCCACTTTTGACTTCAAAATGTGCTTCGCACCACAACGGCGTGTGCTTTTTCGACATCTCAACTTCCAAAAGTGGTCCGAAGCTGGTGTGTTTTGTACATTTTGGCTTGGAAATGTGTTTCGCACCACAACAGCGTGCGTCTTTTCGACATCTCAATTGCCAAAAGTGGTCCGAACATGGTGTGTTTTGTGCATTTTGACTTCGAAACGTGCTTTGCGCCACAACGGCGTGCACTTTTTCGGCATCTCAACTTCCAAAATCCGAGCATGGTGTGCATTTTACATTTTGACTTGGAAATCTGCTTCGCACCACAATGGCGTGCAGCTTTTCATCTCTCATCTGGCCAGATGGCTCCGCACCTGCGGCTTTAGCGAGCCTACTTTTCGACCCTCCGGAGCCACAAATCAGAGTAAAGACACAGTGTTTCGCGACTCTCTCCTACCTTTTCGCGCACCCGGATCTTCTTTCTTCTGACTTTCTCTTCTTTGATCTTCTTTCTTCTCTTCTCTTCTCTTCTCTGACTCTTCCCGTCTCTGCTTTTCATCTGTCCATATTGTCGGAAGTTTGACTTCTAAACTTCCTTCGACTAGGTGTATCACTAAAACGTTGACTATAGTTGGGTTATCCAATAACTACCATACCTGTATCTAATTCAACTTTTGCACGTAATTCCGAGACATGGCTATCATGGTTGGTCAAAACCTTGGCACCTTGGTGAACACCAAAACAACTGCTGAGGCTGGATGCTCATCCCCCCAAAAATTGGGATCAAAGATTAAAATTCATCCCCATATTTCACGATATACCCCTACCAATTCAAATATTTGAAGATACTCCAGGATATTGCAAGAAATACCCGAATCATCCTAAATATAAAATACCTAAACAAATAGACAACCCATGACAACCCTAAACAAAGCCTGGATGAATTATGAAAATTGCTACCCCCTATGATAAACATTCATTAGTGTGTCTTCGAGATCCGCCAAGTCCACACCAAGGCTCGCGGCTACAGCGCTGAGCTCCAGAAGTGGCTCCTTCAACGCCTCGCATTTCGAGACGAAGGGATGAGCGAAGCCGCGGTTCTCCTCGCTGGAAGATCTGCGGCTTTGGCTGAACATGAATAGGATACGCTGAAAACATGACAGTTTGAAAGTGTTTGAATGGGGACAAAAAAGTGTTAAACCATCAAGTTAGACCGGGGGTATCATATTTTCAAACAAACCCAAATCTCAGGAATTGTGAGTGGTTCATGACCACCAAACCAAACCTGATATTTATCAACTGGAGCTCGTCTCATTTGTAGCTGAATTGTCACTCTATGCTGACTCAAGGGACCAATCTTCAGCTCTATCTCTCTCTCTCTCTCTCTCGCTCTGATGCTGAATCAAAAACCACAGCTCAGGTAGGTGAAGTTTTCGAATGTCAATCTTGGATTTTGGCCATTGCCAACATCTCATCTGTGATACCTATCTGCACTATGTATCTGACTTTCATGGAAACACATACCCATTCATTGGCTTCTTCTCAGAATGGAGGATACATCGACCGTTTTCACAGGGGAATGAGGACAAACCTTGGCATGGAATGGGATTCCATAGATTGAAACAAGCCATGACAAGCTTCCTCCACGTGTTCCAGGCCAGGGTAGGTGAAGCAAAAGGTTGGGATCATCGCCACCAGCTGTTGCAGAGCTTCGCAGCCTCTTGGGACCCCTTGGGGATCTGCTGATCTGGAGACATTTCGCCCGGAATGTGGATGAACACAGCGGAGATTCACCACGATATGAAGCAAGTGGAAGATCAACAACTTGGTGATTCGGTGATTCTGAGTCAATGTCGAGCAAAAAAAACAGAACATACCATAACAGCGAAAAGATGCAACCATGGGTGAAACTCCTAGTGGGCCTGATGGATCACTAGGGATCATCTGAAAGCAATAAAAAACGAAAAAGTGCGAGTTTGGTGCAGAAAATTATTACATCATATTACATCTATGATTTTGGCGATGTTGAGAGGACATTTGATGTCATTTGACTTGGACGAAAGTTTGCAGATGTGGCTTCGGCAAGTTCCATGTGGCATTTTGGTTCAAACGCGCCATCTTCTCTTTCAATCCTAGACAAAATCATCGATATCATCGATCGAAATTGGGTTTGTCATCTTGACCCGAAGAAGCTTCGACCTCGTTCAACTCTCCCAATGGATTCCTAAATTTCATCCATGCTGGGATCTATTGGGATCAGAAATCCCTGTTTGTTCAGAATCCGGGCCTGGAAAGGGACCTTGGAAGAAGGGACCCCAGCCCGGCAGAAGACCGTCGCGATTTGCTACAAATCCGTTGGGTCCTGGTGCGCTGTTGATCACACACAGACATGAACCTCCAGTGCTGAAAATTTGGCAGTTTAGTGAATCAGGTCACTCTTCAACATATCATACCTTCTGGTTTTAATGCAATTTCTCACACACAAAATGAACATCCATCCGAATCAAACGCGACACAGAAGGGTTTGGATTTGCTGAACTATCGTTTCACAAAGACTTCTCTTCACCTCCTTGGTTGAGTACCAATTATGTTCAGAACCCAAAATTTTGCCACTGCATGCTATTCTTATATTTTGTTAATTTAATATTCCACGAACGCAATGGAAGCCTTGTCAATGGGATGTCAACACAAATAACATACAGAACATAGAGAACATACAGAAAATTGATCTCGAGTGATCTCCAGAACATCTTGTGTTTTGATGTGTTTTGTTGTCCTCCAACATCCCAGAGGCTGCCATCCAGCAGTGGCACGTTGGGCATCTGCGGACGGAAGATCTTGGCGACTTCGGGGGTCTTCAGCAACGACATCTCCACCACCCCCAGGGGAATTCGCGCCATCTGCGAATCGGTGATGTGCCTGGGCTGAACATCCCTACCAGTGGTTGACATAAGATGTTTGGACTCTGGTTGGGATGAAACTTGGGGATCTTAACAAACAATGCATAGATGCACAGATTATCGGTGTCAACTATGATCAATCTGAGCTTTACTCTGGAACCTCGCTCCGCCCAAATCTGGAAACAGTTAAACTGGGGGGATCACTCACATCCGCATCTCCTTGAAAAATATGGGCGGGGAAAGCGCGTGGGTACCATAATTACCATTCAACCCATGCATCTCGCAACTGCAAACAATCATATAGTTCTATTACCTAAAACAGCTTGGCTACAAACTATAGCTATATAGCCTAGCTATTATCATTCCCTAAAATACAATTGTATATATATATATACTATACATATGTACATAACATATCCAATATATCAATATGGCATCTGATCTCCAAAAAAAATCCGTTCCCAGCTGCTGTTGCAGGTAGTCGAAGGTGGTCCCACCAGTGCCCACCGGCTGTGGCCGCTCTGACCGTTCCCGCTCCATCATGGGGCACACGCTGGCGCTCGCGGAAGCCGCGGCCTTGGAGGATGAGGGGCGCACCTCGGCGGATCGAAATACAGGTGCAATGTGGGTTTCAAACACAGAAATATGGGTGAAATGAAACACATTTGGTATATGAATGTATATGAAATATGTTGATCTACATTTTGTATCATTTTGTGCATTTTGTATGTCGGGTTTCATCTTCACTTTGTAGATCAGTTACCATTTAGTTGGACCACTTTTAGACGGCCGTGGTGTTTTGTTGACGTTGGGGGGGTGGGGGGGGGCGGGGTGGGGTAATAACGTCCATGGCTCTCTTTTTCATAGGTCATGCTACGCTACTCTATGTGCTATTGAGCTTTGCACTCATGGGTCATGCTACGGTACTGTATCTTCTCTTGAACTCTGCACTCATGGTTCATGCTACGCACCCCTCCGTGACACAATATGTGTTCATGTGGTGCTGGCGTTCAAACTTACAGAGTCCAGATCCTAAAAGGTTCTTGGAAGAACTGGAGGCGCTGCTCTGACCAAAAGACAGCTAAAAACATGTGACAGGTTGGCCAGAAAACCCAAAAATGGTAGTTTCATGTAGGTGAAATGACTGCTTTCGTTCTACTGCTTGTGAAGAAGGGGTTGACGACCTTAAAAATAAAATCGCACAAATTCCTATTGGCACGAGGCACGAGCACATCAAACATGATCAACAACATCCCATTGATCAAAAAAAAAACACGGCCCTCTAAAGGCCGTGCTCCTAGTTTCTCCTATGGAAAAGCATGCCACTTATTGATTTCACAGCCTTAAGTTCGAACTCCAACATACTCTGCAATACCCTTGAAAATCGCATCACTCCTATCTTGAAATTCGGAGTTGCAAAGAAAACATGAAGATGACTGAAGATCCACCGGAAAAATATGGAGCCTTGGTGATCAGGTCCGACGTTTCCGACGTTTCCTCACCGAAAGCTTCAGCGAACGCTTCTCCGTCGGCACATCCGAGGTGCAATAAACTGCTCCACGAAGCTCCAATGGCGCCATCGGAAATCTAAAACTCGTGAGATGCCTCAGCGCAAGCGCAGCTTGAGCTCGGCTATAAAAACAAACATTTAGAAATTGTATAAAACTGTCATCTTCTAATTGAGGACCATTTTTCTTCCTTTGGCCACATTTCAAACCGAAATCACTTTTATGCTCAACATCCTCCCCTGAAAAAGCCTAGCCTTTCGTACTACGTGAATCATCCATTCTGACCCCATACTTTGGATCACCAGGATTTTTCCATGAAACTTTCTTGCACCTTCCCATTCTTCCCACGATCGCTGTTTTTTCGTCGATTTTTCGAGCGACAGGAATTGAAGGCCGCCGCCAGGGCGAACCAGGTGCCCTCATCGATGCTGTGCCTCCGCGACTCGATGAAGCTCTTCACACTCTCGGGGGCATTTCCTGATCCAATAGCTGGTAAATGGCTGAAACAGATCCAGATCCCCGGTTAGAGCTTCAATGTTCGCTACTTGGCATCTTTAAAGCATCTTTCCCATCTTTTGAATGTTTTAAACTGCACATGGATCTTTCCTATTCTTGGAATGAACTTCGCGGATTTGGCACCACCCCTGGGTCTCCATGGCGACGCTCAACCGAGGATCTGAGGTGATCCAAGAAGTCTCTGTGATCTCTGGGAACATAATTTTCGAAGGTCTTAACGGCCTCCGTTCTCGGACTCTACGGACTGGAGTCCAACGATAGGGGATTCTTTCAGATCGTGATAAGTCAGTGATAAGTCAGTGATAAGTCAGTGATAAGTCAGTGATAAGTCAGTGATAAGTGATATAAATCACTTTGAGATATTTTGAGACGGTTTTTAAGACCGCCTATAGTGGAGTGGCTCACAGCTCACATTATCTCACAGCGCGGCAGCGCCTCACGGAGGTTTGCAGAAGTATTTCGAATGCCAAGCAATGCATCCACCGATGGCAAGATGGTCGACATAGCACCTGAACTTCGGTCGGGAAAAAACCCGTCGGAGTTTTCCCCGGCTTGTAATTGCAGTAATAATAGTACAACCACCGGGGAAACCAAAACAGCTGAGATCTTCCTAGTTTCAGCACCTGAGGGACCATGGAGGTGATATTCCTCAAGTTCATCATCTTCTCCCACCATCTTGACCTTAGTGCGTGGTCTTGGTAGCTTGGTACCCACTGGGGCAGAGAATTGGTGGCACCCGGATTTTTACCTGACCTGTTCGGAACATCGTCGCTATGCCCTAGATTTGCTGGAGTCAGACCTTCCGAAACAACCCAAACAACCCAAACAACCCAAACTTAGATACGAAAGCTCCTTGATTTGACGCGGTTTGCACTGGCGGACAAACTTCTTCGTTACCGTTTTGATCCCCGAGCGACATCAACTGATTTGATGTAAGCTCTCAAGCGGAAGAAAAAGAGGAACGGCTCACATAGCAGTGAATGGTCCTGCAAATGGAATCTGCTGAGCAAAATCCGGTTGAACAAGCTCTGTATCACGATCTGATGGCGACTTGAAAAGTCTTGAATCAGGTTGTACTAGTGAGGTGCAGATTCATATAGCAGTGTTTCACATCCTGCAGACTTGGCCTGTCTTGCACTACACAGATTCTAAACGATTGAACAGAACCCTCCCAACTATTTCAACGTGGCCTAGTTTCCCTGAAAACACGTACTGTTCTGGACATGGCTGCTCAAGTGAATAATGTTCGGACATAGATGAAAAAAGCTGCGATAGAAGTCTTTCTCTTGCAACACTTCCACGCACCTTTTTAGTGGTGCTCCTCACAAATCTTCATGCCAATAAGTGGTTAAAATATATTAAAGTATGTTAAAATATGTGAAATTCACCATGCATTCTATTTCATTAATATATCTCGCAGTGTGGCTTGGTCCCGCGGCAGGCAAATAGATCCCACCCTTCCGAACCTGTGGGGAACGTGCAAACATGATGGGCAAACACACGGAGGACAACCTGGCGGGCGAATGGGGGGCTTTCTCTTGGTGGTTTTCGTCATCAGTATGATCTTTTTTTTTGACGTTGCATCAAGTTTTATCAATATCTAGCCACTAATCTAGCCACTATAGCTAAATATAGGTAATCTATGGTGATTTTGAAAACTCTCATGGCAAACTTCGGACTTTTAACCAGTTCAAGTGAGTGCATCTGGCGAATCTTGGGTGCCCAACTACACATCACATCTTTCGTGAGAGAATTGCTTTCAAACAGGTATCGAATGGGAAAACACTGGATTTTGGCTCATTCCGAAGATAGATAGCATTCTCAATTTCTGTCAAATCACATTTTTTTGCCCAACATGGCTTGCTGGGTTACTAGTTCTTTGGTGTTCTTTTCTCCTGCCATCCAGGAGCCTCCACAAATTCTCCTCCAAAGAGCGTAACTCTTCCAACAGACTTCTCTCGTCGTTGGACCTCGCAAGGCGAGCGGCAGTTGAGAGCATGCCATGGGAACCTAACTGGGATGGGGTATATAGTATATATATATAGTATTTATATATATATATACATATGGGGTATGGCCTTTATAAGTGGTGAATGTGTTCTATCAGAATTACCATTGCTGGATAGAATCCTATGCTCTAGATCCATTGATCCCAATTTTTTTGCACCAAAATGATTAGATCCACTGAATCAATGGGGGATGGGATTGAACCATCTTTGCTACCAAGGATTGACAAGATCACTTTGCAAAGAAATATACGAAATTGAACGAGTGGAAAATTATGGAACAGTATCATTCTACCAGCTTCATGCTGCTTCTATCTTTTGGGCCGCCACAGTTTTCAGCAGCCAGGGCCCGGTCTCCCCCGGTCTCCCCCGGTCCCCCAGGTTGCCAAGGAGCTGTACAGCGTTACTGATGGCCACCAAACTACTCACCACGTGGCTGCCTTCTGCCTGGTGCATATGCTGGTGGTCAGGGAGTGGTGGCTAATATCAGGTTGAGCCACTTTTAGATGGGGGGACTGCATTTTCAATATATGGTTGATCCACTTGGTGTTGCTTATCCCGTTCTTCGCTTGAAAGCGGATTATTTGGAAGGAATCAGATTTGACCATGCCACGCTGCAACATATCTTTTTCAACTCTCCATTTCATCTAAATTCTAAATGAAGCCTTGATTTCTACATTTCTGCATCATTCCAACTGGATTCCAACCGGATTCCAACCCATGGGCAAAAACAATCCCCAAGCCGCCCAAGCCGCCGTCGCCTCAATGATGATATGTGTCTTGAAGAACCATTCTTCATCCACCAAGCCCGTGAAGCGTCGAAGCAGCCGCAGGTTCGAAGGCTTCAAGGGCCGCTCTGGGTCGATGCGTTCCCAGTTGTTCAGCACGCAGCCAGCGTAGTCCAACATGGGTCGCCGTCCCAAGGTTTGTGACACCGACAGCCATGGCATGCTGAGCCACTTGGGTAAGCGAAGCTCGGCGCTTTCAAGGCGACCCATGATGTTCACCGTTTCATCGGCATCTTGTTCATAGACATCCTAAAAAACGTGGGCAAAGCATTGCTTAGGCAGAAAGCAAATATGGAAGTTGGGGCGAAAGGAAAGATATGGAAAGATCCAGATTTAAAACTGATGGCCCAACATTGAACCTGATTTAGGGGGATGTCTTGAGGTTGCCTTATTGATGGATGGGTGCTAAAATGGATGGGATGGAGGTGCAGAAAAAGGAAGGCAACCCCCAAGTAGATAGAAATTAAGAGGTAAAGACTAGTTGTCTCTATAGCATCCTGGAAACACTTTCCCATCCCTGTATATCTTTGTAGCTGTTGCCACAAATCTGCCTGCATCCCAGTTGCTGGTGGAGAATGAATGTAGGCCAAGCACACATAGCCCAGAACGGAATGTAGACATTCCAACTCCCCTTCACTGAGATCTTTGGTGGCTTCTTCAATCCCCTGCCGCGAACTGGGCAGATCTTGGAGTTCACTATCGGCAATCTCTCGAAATCTGCCTCAGCGGACTGCTTTCTCACAGAGGATTATAGAGGGACCACCCCAAACCGGGCAAATCTCAATCAATTGGATGTAAGGCACTGTAAGGCTGTAAGGGGTAGGATTCGGTAGGATGCTTTATGAACTCACTTGGACTCAAAGCGGCTGGGGTTGGAGCCATGACACTTTCAGCTTGGCTTACGTGTCAAAGAAATGGGGACGATCAAAAATCAACATCGGCAGACACAATATCTGTGGTTGAGCGCACCTTGGACAGAGTAGCTGGGGACGAAATCCATGATTTTCACAAGTTCATCCTGAGTTGCGCGTCAAGCTGGGACCACATGAGCATCATGTTGTGCACTACGTTTTTTTTTAAATAGAATCTGTACACGATGATGATCTTGATCAGCCTTGTCAATGACACTTTCATCCCAAAATTTACCGAATCTCTTGTTTGGCTCATTTGACACCGGACCCCCTTGTATGCTGCTGTACACCCAGAATTCAGTCATGCGGGCTTGTGCCTAGTAAATCAGATCATTCCATGAGTTGACCTAATTCAATCTTTAAAAAAGGCAGCAGCTTCCCAGCTCCTTGCCCAGTGAAGTCACACCACTATGTGTTTATTCCCTCCATTGTTGCAACGATTTTTGCAGTTAGCTGTATCACAAACAGTGTGCCACATAGCGTTGACAGAGGTCAACTGGACACAAGAGAGGAGAAGCACCAAACATCTCAAACATCTCACCAAACATGGGTCCAATTGTCGAATTCATTTCATTTATTTGGTTTCCACCAGATTTCAATCCACCAGCCTTTTTTCCCCTTCAAATCCATATCTTTGTAGTGGTGTTATACTAACTTCTTGAACACTTCTCCATATTTTTCCCAGCAAAATTATGGATAAGAAGTAGTATCATCCATTTTATGTATATAATCCACTTTATGTATATAATCCATTTTTCCATATGAAACACCCAACTGGTTTTGGGGATTGACTCCCTCAACTGATCCGGCCGTCCATCGGTGATGGTTCCAGGGCTCCCATGGCGCAGGCAACTCCTTCACTGGATCCACGGCAGGCAGAAAGCCGCGTTCGCCCACGTCCCACAACTTCTCTTGTAGACCCTCCTGCAACAGAAATACGTTGGATCAATCATGGGATATCATTGGGATATATATATATATGATTATGTATGTATATATATATATATTCTATCATTAGTACCAATGGGATATATATAATATATAACTAATAAATTGGGATAGAAAAGTTGGATCAATGGCGAACAATACTTCTGAATACCATTCTTGTTGGGATGTGAACAGAAGGGGTTTAGTGGCTTTTGACCCATCCACACTGGTAATGGAAATAATTGGGATATACCAGTAATACCGCACAAGGCGGTGGCGGAAGTTTCAAAAATAGGAAACCTATAGGAGAAATTGGTTGTTGTGAATCAGGGATGGCAGAGCGAAGCCACTGATGGACTGAAAGGTGCTTGATCTCTCTCACTCTTTCTCTCTCTTTCTCTGGCTATCTACCTACCTACCCATCTATTTTCTATGTATCTATGTATTGTATCTATGTATCTATCTATCTATCTATCTATCTATCTATCTATCTATCTCTCCATCTATCTATCTATCTATCTATCTATCTATCTCTCCATCTATCGATCTATTGCTGTTGTAGTTGTAGTTGTTGTGGTTGGTGTTGTTGTTGTTGTTGTTGCTGTTGCTGTTGTCGTCGAAGTTAGGGTAGTTAAGTTAGTGAAGTTAGTTAAGTTAGTTAAGTTAATCAGTGTCTACTTTTTCGACATCTTCACGTCAAAAAAGGCTCAAAACCCTCAGTTTTTTACACTTTTGACTTCGAAATGTGCTTCGCGCCACAACGGCGTGCACTTTTTTGACACTTTTTCGACATCTGAACCTCCAAAAGTGGTCCGAGACCGTCAGTTTTTAACACTTTTGACTTGGAAATGTGCTTCGCGCCACAACGGCGTGCACTTTTTCGACATCTCAACTTCCAAAAGTGGTCCGACGCTGAGGTGTTTTGTACATTTTGACTTGGAAATGTGCTTCGCGCATCTTCGCGCCACAACGGCGTGCACTTTTTCGACATCATAACTTCCAAAAAGTGGTCCGAACCTGGTGTGTTTTGTACGTTTTGACTTGGAAATGTGCTTCGCGCCACAACGGCGTGCAATTTTTCATCGTTCCTGTGGCCAGCTGGGTCCGCACCCGCCGCTTTAGCGAGCCTACTTTTCGACCCTCCGGAGCCACAAATCATTGGAAAAACACAGTGTTTCGCGACTTTCCTACCTTTTCGCGCATCTGTATCTTCTGTCCTCTTACTCTTTCTCTTCTGATCTTCTCTCTTCTAATCTTCCTCTTCTCTCTGCCTCTGCCCTGCTTTTCATCTGTCCATATTGTCGGAAGTTTGACTTCTAAACTTCCTTCGATAACCAACAACATGATATGTTTGTGTCTGAAAATGGTTTGAATGGTCATCCGATAATGGAAATCCTTGGGTCAACATGATTTAACTTCCGATGACCATCCCCCAAGATGAGAAACTCATGGTTTGACGGTGATGGCATCCAAGATGGGAAAGTCCTGTTGGTATATGTGCCATCCAAGCTGGATGAAGATGGACAATATCCAGATGGATGATATGAAAAAGATCCCTTCAGCCTGGCTGTCTGCCAAGTATTTTTCTTTCGATATCCGATCCATTTTTTTCCAATTCCAATCATCTCCCTGGACGACGTCTCGCCCGGAGCTCTCCTTTTGAGTGAGCCGACCACCAGTCAATCCCAACCTGGCTGCTGAGCCACCCAAATGGAGTGTAAACACGAGAGAATAACTCGGGAGACCAGTGAAATTGCTTTTAGTTCTTAGGTTCACAACATAGTCTGATACGAGTTTGAGTTCCCGATCAAACGATCAAAAGCATTCGCAAAATCTTTTGACAAAAATCCACTGTATGGCACTCTTCTTCCAACAAAATTTCGCGACCAATGGGAATATAAGTGGGAGAGCCAGTTTCCAAGACATCAAGGCTAGTCGTTGTTAAAACATACTTTCATCTTGGATACGTACTACCTTGATACGTACGTTCAGTTTTCATGTTGCGACCAAAGGACTTTTTTGGGTTCCCGTGAGCGGACTTATCCGTCATTTCTGCATCAGAGCGGGACGAGTCATAGACTCCCACCAAGAGCCTCGGTCAATGACACCGGAGGTGAACAGCTTCTATGCCCATTTTAGTCAAGGGTTAAATCATGCTAAATAATATATACAGTATTCATATATGTATATTATATATATATATAATTAAATATCCCTGCATATCCCCAGGATTATCCAAATAAATTCAACAAATCGCCATTTCTCATGGTTAAATCAAGCACCGCTCGTTCTCTGCCCAGGTGCTGTTCCAACTGGTTCAGCGCCAGCTGCGAATGTCGCATGGTCTCGAACTCCACGGTGGCATCACGGCCCACCACGCTCAGCAAAATGTCGGCGCCGCCGGGATGTTTCCCCAGGTACCTGGGGAGGATCCAAACATGGGGATATCCCCTTTGGTAATTATGGAAAATCACCATCTTTAAGTTCGGTAAATCAACTATAACTAAATGGGCAATTTTCCATAGCTATGTAACAAATTACCAGAGGGTGGGGATATAACTGGGAGTTTTATTGGGACCAATACTTGGAGGATTATCCCTGTTGAAGGCTGAACGGGACAACCTAGGAATCAGGAGATGGAAATCCATGGGTTTCCGGTGATCTACATGGATAGGTACCATGGATGTTCCATATCTATGTTAGTCTCACGGAGAGTATAGCTTTGGCCCATAATTCTTGCTGAATAAATAGTATAACATGGGGAAAAAAGAACCATGGAATACATGGTCTTTATCCCAGCCTACATTCTGTACATTTTCCCGGTGGTTGTAGCTGTATACCTCCCCTTTTGTGCTTAAAATAATGGATTTCTATGGATTTGTCTGAAAACGTCGGGCAGCATTCCAACAGCTCCAAAGATCGGCATATGATGGCTATGGTCTCCATCATGTTTGGACCAAAAATTGATGGCTCAGAACTAGTGGCGAGGGAATGCCACGGAAATGATTGAAAGTGCGATAGATCCCCCCAAAACATCTGAGTGCTTTATGAGACATCTGGAAGCAGATGAAAGTATCAATTGCCACTCTGTGAAATTTAACTGCTGCCCCAATTTTGAGTCGCCGATTTTGAACTCCGGGATGGAGATCCAATATCTACGGGATCCGACCAAGGCACTCTTTGACATTGTAGACCTTCCCGAAAATGATCAACCATCCGTTTTCGCGCACCTCTTGTGCTGTGACCATGACCACATTCCTCAGACGCAAAAATATGATCACGTGGATCAAATAACATCGGCTCTCAAACATGCTGGCATCCATTCAAACCAATGATAATTTATCCTTTCTCATCTTTTTGAGTCATGGGCCACAATAATAACAATAATCATACTAATAACACTAATAAAAATAATAGTAATAACAATAATAACAATAACAGCAACAATAGCAACAATGATACTCATCATGATATTACTAATAAATACTAATAACTACTAATAAATACTAATGATAACATTAATCATGATCCCCAAAACTATTCCACCGTAAGGGGGGGTATCATATCAGACTCTGCCCGGTTCTCGGTTCTTTCCAAGCAACGGCTTGGCCGCTGGCGCCGGTGTCCAGTGTGGACACGCATTCCCCATGGCGCCGCGAAGCGGGGCTCGAGCCCTGAGGCTGTCGGAACCGAAACGTATGGGAAACGTTTGGGACATTGACAGCACTGACATGGCATTTTTTTGGGAAGGTTGGAAGAAAACAATCAAGCGAACAGAAAAATCAGATAGCATCAGTATTGGAACAGGAATCCTAGAGATGTAAGAGTCTGTAAGAGGCAAGAATATCGTTCTTTTTCAAAAATCAGTGCACTAGCGACCTTTTGGCCATGAGGCCCTGCATACATCCTGATGCCAGTTCTTTGCAGGATTCCAGTTCCAACCAGTCAGAGTTGCCTGTCCCCACGTTCCTTAACTTTTTAAACCAAGGTTTCCCTTGAATTAAAGGACCGGATAACCCCACATGTTACCAACTTCTCTAGATTTCGACTGGGCATAGAAAAGCAAGAATGGAAGAGAAAGTATAAGAGTGATGGAGGGACGATGGTGGTATGTATGTAGGTAGGTAGGTAGATAGGTAGGTAAGTATGTATTATGTATTTAGGTATCTATGTAAGTATGTACGTAGGGTAAGTTGTTTGTGAGTAAGTTGCTTCGCTTTCATCGAGTTCTACCAGGCTCTGATTTTTTTCCGACACACTATCAAAACGATGGTGTGCTCACCATACTTCCGCTGACCAAAGTAATGTTCTGCACTCTTTCGAGCGCAGCTGCACATTTTGTGAACTCTTTCTGCATGCCCTGTGGCTGGTAAACATCGCTGGCACATGATGATGATGATGATGATGATGTATGTGAGTGAGTGAAGTGAAGTGAAGTGAAGTGAAGTGAAGTGAGTGAGTGGGTGAGTGAGGGAGGGAGGGAGGGAGTGAGGGAGTGAGTGAGTGAGTGAGTGCGTGAGTGAAGTGAAATGAAGTGAAGTGAAGTGAGTGAGTGGGTGAGGGAGGGAGGGAGGGAGTGAGGGAGTGAGTGAGTGAGTGATTGAATGTGTGTGTGTGTGTACCATCTGAACAGATGTAAAACTTCTGATTGGTTTTCACTAGTTTGCAGGGGGCCAGGAACCCATGACTGTCTGTCCTGGCCAACGAAGACCAGACAGCATGGGGGTGAAAACGTACCTGCGAGTTTTTGAACTGTTGCTCAAGCTGTTACACTGCGTTGTTTCGAATCTACACGGTTGCCACAATCTGTATTGCCTGCATCAGAACCTTCCTCAGATTTTCGCCGAACATATCGCCGACAGTATTATGATTTTTTGACATGTTTTCGCCGAGATCATGTCGCCGACGAACCTTGGGTCATTTTGGGAAACAATCGCCGAAACATTATTTTGGATTTTCAACATGCTGGTCAAAACTCTATGGAATCTGGTTAAGACTACGTTTGACGATATCGGATGCCCTACATCGTTTTCGAGAAGTACCTCATGTGGCTCTTTTATTCATCAAATAATTTAGGCTGGTTTGCATGTTTCAGGATTCAGTTCCTGCCGGATCATATAATGATCCATTCTTGTCTAGTGTGATTTCCATGGTGGCTCCGACATGGTGCCATGGAGCCATTTGAGGCAACCCTTTTTAGGGTGAGTGTTGACAGTCTTGAACTCTGAATTCACACATTTTAATTTGGTAATTCGTTTACGTAATGTGCAACAGCTGGCCTTTCCGTTTTGCACCTTTTGTGATGTCCCGCGCTTCCGGCTGTCCTTTATGAACCCAGTGAATGCATCTCTATTGAGTGAAGCCACTTCGAACTACCAGAAACCTTTTTTCTCTGCAGCTTGCGCATTTGAAGTTCAACATGACATTCACGACAAAAGGCAACAGGCATGTCCTTTTCCTGCAGGTGTGGTCTCTTTGGTTTTTGGTGAGGTGAAACATTTTGTGCATCTAATTCGTTGGAATTTGGAAGCTGTTTTATGCCTTCGTGGCACGACTTGACCACGGTCCCGGTGCAGGGAATAATTGCACGACATCTTAAGCAGTTAGGGACTGAATCCTGTATGTGATTGTTCACTTTTGTTTTCATCTACTGAAGCGATGCATCCGTGGAACCCTCCGCCAACGTCCTGGCCTGTTCCACCGCAGCCTACGAACGCACCTCCGACGTGGCCGCAATCATCACAGAACGTACATCTATTTGGACATCCTTCAGCCTTGCATCCTACATGGTCTTCTTCAGCTTCGATCATGCCGTCTACATCATCCCCAACATCGTTGCCGTTTACCTCATTGTCTCCGGCTCCTCATGCAGTACCAGGCCCACAGCTCGTACCCACCATGCCTGCACCTTTGACCTCCGAACCCACAATGGCGCACACCGCTCCTTCGACTTTCCCATCTCCTTCGGCACCCACCGCTCCACCTGCCTGGCCTTCTCCACCGACTTCATCTCCTACGTCGACTCCACCACCTACATCGACTATGCCACCGACACCTTTGCCAAGTTCCCCTTACCCACCCCATCACATTCAACCTCCATTACAAACGAACGCATTGATGGTTTCTCCTGATGAACATCCTCCACGGCCTCCTGCAGTTAAGGCAGCTCCCAGACCTCGCTCTGACAAAAGAATGGATCGACCGCGCAGGCCAGCTTCAAAAGCCCCTTCTTCGACTACACCACCAGCACCCACGGCAGCACCGACGTCATCCGTGCCACCCGAACTGGTTGCATTGGGTTCCACTACACAACAACTTGCGGAATCGGTTCGACTTATTCAAGCTCAGCAACAGGTGATCATGGATACTCAACGGGCCCAAGAACAACGTCAGCTACTTCTCCAACAAGATGGACCTCCACCGAACCCTATTCCACACATACCACCACCTACGCCCGTGCCACCACTGACAGCCACACCTCCACCCGCACCGAAAGCCAGACCTACCGAACCTGACGTTCCGGACCTTCGCATTGTTCAAGCCCCGGCCATTGCTCCTCCTCATCCACTACCAGTTCCATCATCCCCAACACGCCGACCAAGATCTAGGACTCCACGACCACGTTCCCTTCGACCTTCGGTACATTCTCATCGCCATCGCTATTCTCCTCCACGAGCAGAACGACCTCGTTCTCCTCTCCCTCGTCATCGATCATCCACAAAACCGGACAAGGGCCGCAGAACCCCATCTCCATACAGACGACGCTCCCCACCACGACGCCGCTCTCCCGTGGTCCCTCGACGTCATCGATCTCGGCCACGTCCACGTTCCGCGACACCACGTCACAGATCCAGAGGCCGTGAAGTCATACTCCGACCAGCTGCAAACCCATCGAATCCGAACTACATCCCCACTCCCGATGCTGATGACACCTGGGGTACATGGAACGACAGTCACTACACCGACAACGACCATCACCACAATCCTCGACCCAATTCTCCTGCCGGTCCACCACCAACGGAACCACCAACCAACCCACCAACCCACACTTCAGCACCACTCGGCGCGGTGTCCTTCCGAGTTCCGGACGGCGACAGTGAAAATTCTGAATTTACAGATACAATTTCGCTCACCAAGTTTGACACGAATGACATCGACCTCGATGAAATGGTGGCGGCGGCCAATGACCCCCATAGGGTCCGTTGCCTGACTGAACTTGACCCCGATCATGTTGTTCCTCTACGCCGATCATTGACCCCGGCTATCTCGCAGCTCTTCAACCAGTTTGTGGACGCGATGTTCGAAAGGTTGGCTCAACCATACCGCACCGTCAACAACCATCGTATTTACATCAAAGCAAGTCAAGCCACCGTCAGGAATATTGCCAGGGCCTTTGCACAATCCGACTTACTGGACATCGAACTCGCAAGGCAAACACAGGCCTTCTACATCGAGCCAGAAAACTTGCTGACTATCACGGTTCCCACAGGATTGAAGAAGAAACCAATCTACCGTGGCGAACACATGGGCACCTACCTGATCTACCACAAAACGAGTTGGGAATCAGTTGCCAAAATTCTTGCGGAGGACTGCATTCGCCCGGCAACTTGGACCAAAAACGAAGCCGGCATGCCGACTCAATACCCATGTTACGGGTTCTTCGGAATGTCCTCAGAGATCGCAGACATCGACCACCTACCCGGCTATGCTGTCAAGATCTGTACCTCTCAGCTCTACAAAATAGGCAAAGGACAAAACCCATCAGGCCTAATGGCCATATGCCGCTCACCCAAATGCATCCGTGCCCTAGCTGGAGGAAATGACCAAATCCAACGCTTGTGCAACCTTGCGGGCATCGCCAAGGGCAAAGACAATGCAACGGCTATGAACTCAAGCGCCGCATCTATATGCTACGTTGCCTCCACTCACACGGTTTTCCCGGGCTTGATCACACACCAGACTGCAGAGACCAATGCACCTTCGGAACCTCCTGATGATTCTACACGTCCAGTACGACCTGACCCTTCTGCTGACGCCCCTGAACCTTCGGAGCCGGCCCCGGACGACTCTCGCGACACACCGAGCCACCGCGAAACCGCTGCCTCTGGCTCTCGGGACTATGCTCGCCGATCTTGGCACGACAATGCTTCTTGGGACAATTCCACCTACAGCCACCGAGATCGCCGATCCTCATACCAGGAAGACCACTCTCGTGACCAGCACCATGAAGGCCGACCTCGTTCTCGACATTCGACCCACTACTCTCGATCTCGTTGGTGAACTATTTACCCTTGAGAAGCACCGGAACTAGTATCGACTATTCTATGTCAGCGATACAGTGAGCCTAGTGGCCCCGCCCGATCATTTTGGAGTAACAATGCTTCTCCCGACATTCGGTATTGCCGCCACTTCTTCCTCAAAAGGTTTGTGAATCGCTGCATGCTCATATTGTTGATCTTTTCGCCGATTCGTTTTCACTTCACGTTTCACACACGGGGACCACGTATTATGTCTCACACTTTTTCAATTTCACATTACCTTTGTCTCACCTCGACATTTTCCGCAGCTTTCCTTCGGCAGTTCGAGCGCATTTTGATCTATTATCTCGTGACCCTCGCTACATCATGGCGTCCCAGGACCTGATCTCCCAATATAGCGCGGATGTGAATGGA